TCTTCCTTTGTCCATTTTTCATTTTTTTTCATTCGTCTTCCAGTCATATGTCAACTCCATGCCATGGTTGCCTAGTAGAGGGAGCTGAGCCCTGTGGCATATTTTTCACTGAACATCCAGAAGCCATAGTATTCAACTCGAACCTTATTGAGACGGGCAACACTTGATCTGGCATAGAATTCACTTGATGTGTTTTAACCATAGTTAAATGAGTTTGGAGTCTGACTCTTCTACAGAGCACACAAGCCCCCCTCCCCAAACCCAACACGGTAAAGCTCCTTGGTGGGATGATGATGATATAACGATGATTTATTATTATTATTGTTATAGATTTAATCTTCAATTCAATTTACAGTCTAGACTGGTAAAAATTGAACATTCAAGTCCTAATCAAGGACCTAAGAGCTGCTAAGGTAATGTATCAAACTCAATTTCATTGAGGGCCGCATCAGGGTTGTTTGACCTCAGAGGGCTGGGAAGGGTGGGTGTGACAGCACTCTGCCTCTTGCAGCACTCTGCCAGCCAAAATGGGGCACAGGGGTTAATTACAAAATGTGGGCTTTGCTTTGTGACATCCAGATTCAGTGAGCAAGGGGGTGTGAACTGCACACAAAATACACTTTTGTTTGGTTATGAAGAAATATGTCCAAAGTCAGATGTAGACTAAATGTAGACTGACTTTTAGCTACACACCTTCCCAGCAAACAGTAAATTTCGAAGCTCTGGGTAAAGAGGATTAATTTTAGGATGAGTAACCACAATTTGCATGTTGGAGGTTCCTAAAGGAATGCTAGGAAACTGTATTTTAAAGAACATTTGAGGGAGAGGTGCAGAATAGCTGTTCTCTGCCTGATGCTGTTGAGACCTGGCACCAATCAAAACATTTTTGTGATGCAACTGATCATCACTGACAGGATAAGCCAGTATATGAAAATAAGAGCAAACTCCATTCCCTTTTAGTACTGAAGATATTATCTACTTTGATAATGAAACATCTACAAGAAAACCATCAAGCTCAGAGGGCACCAAGGACCCCACAGTTCAACCCTGAGCTACAAATATTCTCTTCTATCGATAAACACTTTTTGATTACTCAGAGCTTGCCTTATATGAGATGGCATCCAATGGAGTTCATTCTAAATTTTGGTATGATTTCTGTAAATAAGGAATATAGAATTATAATGGCTGAGTCTTTGATCCTTTATACAACAACAACAAAAAAATACAAAGCTAAGGGATAAACAAATAAACAGATTTGAAAAAAGAAAAGGCTCAGGAAAGGAAGAAAGAGGAAAAGAAGGAAAACTGAAAAAGAATGACTTCCAACTTTTATTGGTACAGATATAAGTAAAAAATAAATCAAACTCTTAATCTAGGATTAACATTTGTCTACATTATTTCCATAATCTTATATCTAATCATCAAAACACCAGATAAACTTTTAATTTCAGTTTCTCACAAAAAGTCCAGGAATGGCTCATATCACTTTAATCACTATTTGTTAAGGAAACCACAACTGATTTATTTAATTGCACCAAAGTCTAAATAAAACAGGAATGGAAAATCCTAAACTATAGTCTAGACCCATGCTTCTCAATTTTGGCAACTTTAATGGACTTCAATTCCCAGAATTCCCCAGGCAGCATGAAGTTCACCCATCTTAAACTTGCCAAGACTGAGAAACGCTGATCTACAGATAGGGATTTTTCCATTCCTCTTTTACTGGTTCTCAGGGCCGGATTTAGATGAAAAGAGGCCCTAGGCTATTCCACTTATGAGGCCCTTTCACCTATAGTGAAAGTGTAATTTTAATTTTGCTAACAATTTGAATGTAGGCGCCTCTTGATCTTGAGGCCCTAGGTTGAAGCCTAGTTAGCCTATAGGAAAATCCGGCCCTCTTACTTACTTATGAGCAATCATAATGCAAAATCCTCACTCCCACCCCACCTGTTCTGACCTAGGCTTCCTGATATAGTAAAAAGCACACAATTAATCCCAAAACCCCTTTTTATAATTTTAACGGCTGTGAATTCCTTTCATTCACAGCTCGTGTTGAATCACCAAGAGTTTATAAATAGTCCAACAGAAGTCTGCCACAGTCCTTTGGATAAGGCTGGTAAACACCGACCTTTATCTTCTTTGACACGCTGTCAAAGACCTAATTGGCAATTATCTTGGCAAGGCCACACGGAAACACAGAGTCAAAAACGGAGCTTCAAAGTACAAACCAACAACATCCACAACGCTACTTCCTGCAAAGGCCCATGTGCCTTTGCTCTTCCTTTATGTCTTATGGGAGGGACCAATCATCTCTAAGCCTTACTCCTGAGTCATCCCTTTTGTTTTAGCTGTTCTTGCTTTCTGGCAGCTCTGTGCATGCGTGCACTAGGAACAGGCTCCCCCTGTTCCTCTGCCTCTCTGATGTCTGACTCTGGAGGCTCCGGAGTCGGCACATAATTCCCAGATGGCCCTGGCCCCATCTCTGCCTCCGACACAGACCCCTCATCCAAACCTTCCCCAGACTCCAGGACTGGCCCATGTTCCTCCCCAGCCTCCTCACTGTCCAATTCTGCTACCAGCTCTGCAGGCTGCGGGTAGCAACACCACCCCAGAGCAATCATAATGCAAAATCATTACTCCCAGCCCACCCCAGAGCAATCAAAATTCAAAATGTTCACCCCCACCCCACCCCAGAATAATCATAATTCCCTCACTAACTTGCTTTCCACATTCTCTGGCGTGCAGGGCAACAAAAGAAGACCATGGGACTACAGGTTTTAAAAAAAGTGCAATCAGACCTTCCAACTTCTCAGAAAAAAAAGATCTCGTGAAGTTAGAAGGTCTGATTGAACTTTTTTAAAGTGGTAGTCACATGGTCTTCTTTTGTTGCCCTGCATGCCGGAGAACGGAGCTGGAAATCAGGTTAGTGAGGGAATTATGGTTGCTGCAGGATTTTGCTGGAGGCCGTCCAGGCCGAAAACAGGCTGCGGGATGGGAGGTGCGGGTGGCCTCCCTACTCCCCATTTTCATTAACAGAGGCACTGCGGGCCGGTCCTTTGCCATTTCCAGGCCAACCCCATGGGTCAGATTTAAGCATCATATTTGGCCCGTGAGCCTTGACACCCCTGATATAGGCAGTTCCAAGTAAGGTGGGCTTTTTTTCAAAGTCAGACTATTCAGGCCTGATAAGTTCAAAATTTCCATGTATCTAGGTAACCCTTTGGCTCCAAGGGTTCCTATTACTATTGTTTATTTATTATTATTTATTAATTTAAAAAATATTGGTCATCGCACACCAGCCAGATGTTCAGACTGAGTTTGGCAATTTTGTGTACCTATCGAGTCCTTACCAAAGATTTGGTATCAGATTTGATAGGCAAATTTGGATGTTTGATGATATTACAAATATCGTCTCAGGATGGAAGCTGTTCCAAGTAAAACTACCTTCTGCAATTGACTGATGGCAAATTTGTCAATGACAATAGTGTTCCAGTTGTTTTGGAATTGCACCCAAAGTATCTATTACTATTGGTGCTATCCTTGCTTACCTTGCTTACACAATCATTCTATTTCTATTTGTAGGTCTTTGTATTTTGTTATCTTCTCCAATTCTCTCTCTTCTATTCTACTGTCTCCAGACACTGCCACATCCACTACCCAGACATTTTTGTCTTTCTTAATGACAATTGTTAAAAATTTATTATTATTGTTGTTCTTGTTCTTGTTACTGTTATTATTATTATCCTGTGCTAAGCAAATTGGGCTACAAGCATACTCCACAATTTTCAGTCAGCAACTACAGTCTATGCATCCTTCCATTTAAGGCTGATGTTTTTAAAGTAAAAGATCTTCCTGAAATGTTTGGTGCCAGGTTTTTTATTGTTGTTGTTGTTTGGCCTACCTCTTTTTCTCCATCTGGTGGTATCCAATAATTGAAGTCTTTGCTGGACATTGCTCACTCATGGGGAGCATGTGTCTATCAAAACGCATTCTGTGTTCTATCACTATCTCAGAGTTTTTGGGAATTACCCCCTCAAAATCCCACTGCATTCCTCAACGGGGTGAGGGAGTGAACTACATGGGATAAAATAATATCCCGTGTAGGAAAATTGCAGGGGCATGGATGTCAGGCTTGCAACCCAGTGTCACAAAAATTCTTGCAACAGAAACTATAAGTGAAATCCTGACCCAACACATTCAGTTACAAATTTAATTTCAGTGTGTTTTTCTGAAACAGAGTTCTAGAATTTGATTCAAATTCTCTGCTAATATTATGTGTATACCTTTGTGAGCACTGATATAAGCATCTGTGAAAATAATGAACATTTTCCCATTATTTGCCTGGTAATTACTGCATATGGGGAATACAGCTATCTGTGCTACTAGTTTCCCCCAAAATATAGCACAATGGAAAGCAGAGACTCTTCTATGGATTAACTTGAAGAAGCCAGAGAGGGAAAAGGTGTCCTTTGAAATATAAACTGTAATCTCTGCCTACTGATTCAATAGGATCCAGTAGAATTAAAACATTTAAACATAGGGTCTGATTTGTCAAGGCAATTTCAAAAGGCAGACATTTGAACTCTATCCAGGCATAGACATTTTGATAGCATTAAGACAACTTGCTATTTAAAGTGGAATGCAAATAATATCAAAGGTTCAGTGTTTTCTGTATAACTTATCATATAAGTTCTATTACGTTCAGAGTCTGCAAAACACCACATAGTTTGATCCAAACTACAATACAATATTTACTTAATACTACAATATTAAGTAAACACAGATATGATACATAAAAATTGTTATGGATCATATACCTAAGGATAACGTATATGCAGTATTTATAGAAGCAAAGGAAAATTAAAAGAAATTATAGATTCTTAGTCTGGATTCATTATATTTTTCAACAGCTTAATTTCTGAATATTCTGTTCATTATATAAAATGTTGCACCTTGTAAATAAATAAAAATACATGCTCTGAACCATCAGATCACCACACCTGTATCTCAAGCATAGCTTGCAATTCTTTTTCTTGTTTTTCTCTCAGTGTGTGTTCTTCTTCAGCTCTTTTTCTTGTTTCATCTTCTGCTTTTCTTTTTGCTAATTCCTCTTCCAATTTCCTTTCCTCTTCTCTTTTATGATCCTTATTTTCCAACAGAGTCCTCTCTTCCTCTGCTTTTCTTTTCAGCTCTTCTTTTTCTAGCCTTCAAAACACCACAATATATTGTTGGGAGTACATTTATGTTTTTTTTCTATTAAATATTTATATCATTAAGAACTGGCTCCAAATAACAAGGTAACAGAACTTGAAGAGGATAAAGAGAAATGTTGCATATTTCTAATTAAATATGTGAAATATATACTCTTAACTTGCATATGTTTGCCCTATAATTAAGAGATTATAGTTATTAATGTAGGGAGAGCAGGATACCTTTCAAGTTTTTGTCTTTCTTGCCTTTCCTTTTCTTCTTGTTCTTTCTGAAGTCGAGCCTGACGTCTCTTCTCTGCTAGAATTCTAGTTGCTTCTTCAGCATCAGTAGTCCCTGCTACATGTTTCCCTAAAAAAAGTTCCTGAATTGAATATTAGTCTGTAGGCAGGAAACAAGTTATATGTGCAATAGAAAGTCACACAATATTATTCTGATGGTTGAATTTTCTAGTCAATGAAACTATAAAAATATTATAAATATGCATTCTTGATTTTAATTAATGTTAATCTCCTAGATGCTATCTTCATATTTTACCTTCCTTAGCAAGATTCTGCGAATAATTTCTAAGGGATACAGTACAAAATAATTGTTGATGGTAAAGTTTAAATTAACAGCCCCTCCCCCCAAATATTAGTGACAGAATTAATCATGTAAAATAATAGTCAACTGAACTAACATATAACAAAGAATTGTTTTAGAAGCAAAGGCAAATGGGAGGTGGGGCTAACGTCACGGCAACATGACACATCTCCACGGGGCTCCATGGAATCACACCGAATTCGACCTGCTAGGAGGTTCCAAGGGACCCAAATCATTCTGGAGGTGTGATGAAGACAGAGAGGACTCTCTGTCAATCACAAGGAGACCGCAAACTCCTTGTTTGATTTGGAGGAAACTCTCAATCTGGCAGGAAGAAAAAGATGGCCATTGCATGCCTGACCAGAGCTGTGACAGCCAACCGATGAAGCAAGCATAGAATCTGAGGAACAGTGTGATCGATCTGGGTGAGATTTTTCCAACTCCTATTGTGGAAATCGCCCCTTTAAAGTAAGCTTGGGTGAAAGTGGGATTCAAAGAAGAGAAGGTGACTCAAGAATAGTGGTGAGCAAACCTGAGAGCTATCTATAGAATGGGAAATAGAGAAAAGAGAACTTTTCAGAAAGAGGTTTAAAAGCTAGAAAAGTCAGTGTCAGCATCTTTGAGATAGCATCGAAACCTGACAGTCAGACTGGGGATTTAAATTACAAAATAGACGAAGTTGAAAACTTTTTGGAATATGAAATTTTGACTCCTGGGACTTTTAGAAAGCTTTGGATCAGATGATATAATTTAAGCTAACAAAAGAGAAAGGAGAGAAATAGAGCAACAGCCACATCTACTGGAGAAAACCGCAGGGAAGTGAAAGTAATAAAAGCATGACTTTGACAGTCTATTGAAGATAAGCTTGTTTGTTACAATAACACCTGCTCTAGCAAATTGTTTATATGGGATAGCAGAGACAGAGAGTGAAAAACTGTAACTTTTTAAACAGTGTAGCTCTTTGAATTTATATGGAAACTAAAAAGATAAAGTAATTAGAAGCTGGGAAACAGCAAGGAACTATTTTATTTTTCCTTCCTTTTTGAACTTTCCTTCTGGTGATTTATGAGCCTATATCCGTGATGGTGAACCTATGGCACGCATACCAGAGGTGGCATGCAGAGCCCTCTCTATGGGCACACGCGCCGTCGGCAGTTGCTCTTTTGGTTTCTAGTGCACGCATGTGCATTGGCCAGGTGGTCCTCGCACATGCGTAAGCACCGGAAACCCAAAGACCAGCTGGCCAGTTGGCATGCATGCACCGGCCGCCTGGTCTTTGAGTTTCTGGTGCTCTGGCATGCACAAAGACAAGCTGGCCGGTGCATATGAGTGTGCCGGAAACCTGAAGACCAGGTGGCTGGAGCATACATGAGCACTAGTTAGCTGGTCTTCAGATTGACGATGTTCCAATGCGTGTGTGCATTCTGGTTTCAGCACTCGGTGCCAAAAAGGTTCACCATCACTGGCCTATATGGTTGAACTTTGGGGGCTGGTAGGCCTAAGTGGATTATAAATTTACCAAGAAAATAAAAAATTAGGATTTGAAGAACCTGAGGAACAAAAAGCAACCTCCCCCCCCCCTTTTTTTTTTGAATTACAACAGTAGAAAGTATGAAATTATTTGGAGAATCTGGTGGTGGTTGGATTTTTGAAAAAAAAAATTAAGTGGGAAGTTGGCGGGGGATTGAGGAAATATAAGAATAATATTTGTGTTATTACTGATTGTCTTTTTTGAATTTCTTGAAGATTTTAAGACTATCCAAAATGGCTAGTGTTTCAAATTTAAGTAAATTGGGGGGAGGGGAATACATCTGTGTCATCATCATTATCATCATCAACAGCAGCAGCAGCAGCATCCAGTACAGCAAGTTAAAGATCTTTGGATAGCATGTTGCAGCAGTAAAAAATGAACACAATGAACACGATGCAAGCAGAATTGAAATTAATGCTCCAAACATTTCCAAAAGCCACAACAAAAAAATTTGAAGACATGAAGGTAGGAATGGAAAAGATAGATGATAAAATGGAGAATATTCAACAAATAATAACTAAAAATGAACAACGGATGGAGAAAATAGAAGAGAAATCAGAACAAACAGAGAAGAGTAATTAGATGGAGTATTTGAGATGGATAAACCTAATACTTCTTGAGGTTCCAGAACATTGAGGGGAAAAAAAGAGAAAACCTTGCAGAGATAATGGCAGAATTGTTGGCAGATGCCCTAGAGGTGGACAAGCAGGAGATGCTTGCTGGGATGGACAAAATATTTAGAGTATATACAATGTATGTGTCAAGAAATAAACTTCCTAGAGAGGTACATGTGAGATTTACTAAGAAGGCATTAAGAACAGGGATACTTCAAAGAGCAAGAGATGACCCGTTGAAATACAAAGGAAGAAAAATAATAGTTCTGAAACAGATCCCTAGAAGAATATGAGACACGAGAAAACAATACCAATTTCTGACAAGACAATTAATTAAGCATGAAGTAAATTTCAGATGGCTATACCTGAGGGAATACTGGTGATATGGATGGATCAAAGGCATAGATTGGATACTATAGTGCAGGGGTCCTCAAACTTTTTAAACAGGGAGCCAATTTACGGTCCCTCAGACTGTTGGGGGGGCAGACTGGCTGAGTGGGCATGGCTAGGTGGTCATGTGACTGGGTGGGTGTGGCCAATTTAGCAGTCCATTTTGCCTTTGTCCTTCCTAAGCTGTACTTCCTGAACCCAAGGCATCTATTTATTTAATAAGATACTCTTCCCAAGGGAAAAAGAACACACACTTTCTTGCCACTTGCCTAATTTCAGTAAAAGAGCAGCTTCAGGCTTCTTAAAATAGGCCATTAAAAAAAGAATAAAACAAACAGGATTTCCTTCAAAATAACTCCTGATTATATGTTTCAGAAGACCACACAATAAACCAGACTGAGAAATGCACCAATTAAGACTGCAACTAAAACCCCCAAGATTTGGGAAAGAGAATCACTCTAAAATCCATTAGCATTGCATTTCTCCGAATGCACCATATATCTTTATTTTACGTATTGTAAATTGATTTCTGATGCATTTAATTTATGGAATTATCTTTTGTTACTACTTCCAGCAATATTAATCTGCATTTTTTACTTTATTTAAAACGAACAGATTTCAAATTATATAAACCCCATTGAGATTGTCTGTAGCCAAACACAACCTCCACCGATTTGCTCTCACATACATACTCACCAATCTGCTTTAAAAGGTAAATATTATATATAAAGTAAATGTTACAGGCAATACCTTAATGCTGATTAAATCTAAAAGAGGCCAAATCAGGAGGACTGATCAGAAAGTGACTCACTGATAACTAAGGACAGATCCACCTCAAGTTTCATTTAAAATTGGAGGGGTGACAGAGAAAGAAAAGAAAAGCTTTTAAGTTACTCTTAAAAGTAACTACACAGCTAATCAATTTTGGTCCCGGGACACAGGCAATGAAACAATAACAAAAAAACCCTCCCCCATGTTGCTGCTTCTGAACTAAAGCAATTGAGCAGGGAAGCCAGAGTGGGAAAGATCCTTAGCAAAATGTTCACCTTAGCAACTTTGGTAAACACACGCAGAGGAGACGAATCCAAAGTCAGAGAAGGGACCCTTACAAGCCCCAGTCACTGGGTCCTCCACTCCCACCTTTTCTTCCAAATCAAGGGAAAAAGCTCCCAGCCCAGAAACAACGCTCCCAGTGCTGGAGAGCTGCACTTGCAGTAGAGTAGGAAGAAAAACCTCACAACTTTAAAAACTCAGGGTGAAACCTCCTCCTCCTCCCCCACATGGCTGCTTCTGAACTAAAGAAAGCTACCAATTGATCAGGGAAGCTAGAGTGAGAGAGATCAAATGCTAGCCAGTCAATGACAGTCCCAGGGATTTAAGCTTTGGGATCCCCTTTTTCTTCCTTCCTTTCCAGCGAGCGGCAGTTTGCAGGGTCTGAAATTTATTTTCCCTTTCCGCCTTTGCCTGCTTCCCAGCCAAGGAATGCTGCTTTTTTTTGCTGCCTCCCCACAAAAAGAACCTCTCTTTCTTTCTCCTTCCTTCCTTCTCATCTTCCTTCCCACCTTCCCTGCCTGCCTCCTTCTCATTCCCATCTCGTTCGAGTTTGGCAATGCTCTTTTTTTTCAAAGAAAATAGGAAAGAAGAAACCTCATTACAAAATCTATGTAGGGAGTATGAAGTGCTCCCTATGTGACTCATATGCCCACTACAAGTGTCTGGGGTTAACTAAAGATGTAGTCCAGTTTCTTCAATCAACATCACTAAAAACCTCCCAATTTGCATTTCCACTATTCTGCCCATCCTGCAAGTCCAGACTTGACAAATTCATTGTTTTGCTTGAACGGGTGGACATTTTGGAAGCAGGTCGAGCATCCCTTGAAGAAAAGGACAAAAAGCGGAGAAGTGAAGCACCAGTATCCAGGAATCATGACACAGCTCAACAACCCAAGCCGCAGGAAATCACTAATCCTGCTAGTAACAGCTCCATCCTTGTCAAAGACGCGATTGAATGCGAAGAGGAGCATCCCAATGCTATCTTATTTGGACTGGATGACACCAATGAATCCGACATCACAAATGTTCGTGACATCATCAACAACTTCCAGGCATCAATCATCACTCACAAAAAATCATTGATGTTTCCCGCGATGGCCCCGAGTTCAAGAACAGTGATAGCTCATTGGCCCCATGCTTCTGCAGAGTCGTTTGCAAGAGCGAAAACAGCAAATGCAAAT